TTGACCAGAGCCCATCATTCTGTAAATCTTCCAACATCTACCTTGCCTGCATCTCTGTAAACTTCCCCCGACTCTTCTTTTGTATTGTTGTAGCAATCGATAGACACATATTTGCTGCATGTTTATAGACTCCCTTCTGTGTATCAGCAACTGCCCTTAATCTGTTTCAATTAATGTTGACTGGTATTATTATTAGTTGATCCATTCTCCCACAACCTATATACACACACAATACACGATCCATTATAGATACATTTAAATTGAGTTTGTTATTAGCATTTGAACTGTGTTATGAACTTAATCTGAAAGTTGGGTTGTTTAGTTTTAGGTGATTTTTTTATCAGGGTTGGATTTATATGTGTCCTTTTCAAGTTGGAAGAAGAACTTTGATAGGTCGTGTTCTTCTGATTCGGGTTTTGTCTTATTTTTATGTTTGCCATGTCTTGGTATTTGATGGAAACTTGTTTGAAAATTTGGTGGACCTTTGATGTTCTCTGTCTTCAAGCATCATCTTGGGCTTTGTAAATAAGAAAATTGTGCCTATTGCATTCATTTGCTCTGTCAATTTGGAGCTTGGTTTTTTGAAGAATTTCTTGATTTCGACTTTACAGGTGATTGCGGTGATTGATATTGCTTGATCAGAGCGCTATTGAACCTCAAATGAGCATATTGAGTTATGCTATGATAAATTAGGCTTAAACTACAATTCTTTGACTTGGCCAGCTGAGACGTGTATGAGCTGCGTGGAGCTCCGTAATTGAGGATGCCTCCATTATGTTTTGGCCTTGATAAATGCAATATTTTTGCTGCATTTCGTTGAAAATGGCATTAGTTTTATTAAGCCTACTATTGTTGGTGCAATCACCAAGCATATCTGCATCTGGGTTGTTGCAACATATAAAAGCTTGTGGAACATATCACATTAGCTACTTGGGTAATCCTGGTCAGGAATTGTTCTATATTGATGGAAATTTGGTGGACAAATATTTATTCTGCAAGGCTGTCAGAATATATCATGAGAATCATTGCTCCGTCACAAGAAATATCGGAAATCAGTATTGTGGATTGGAATTTTCATTAGGTGTGCCCAATCGAGCAATATTTTTTTATACCTTCTGCTTTCAGTTAAAATATCTCCTTATGAGATGCACACTGGGAAAAGATTTCATTATTTTGTAAACATTTAGATTGCATACATAATTTTTTTTTTTTTGCTAATAAGTAGTGGTTCATCTACTATAATGCAGATAAGTTGTCTTTGGAGGTGGGAAGAAAATTTTTACGAAATGTGGTTCGAGAAGGATCTACAGGGCACGATTTCGATAAAACATCTCAGTTGAAAAGGGATAAATATGCTAAGAACCCAATATTAACCCCGAAAATTCTGGCCATGGCAGTACCAGCTTTCTTTGTTTTATGTTGCTCCTTTCTTTGCCCTTGCTTTCAAGCAAGAAAGAGGGAACTTGGCCATACTGTTCTGTCCAAGGAGCCAAATTCAAGTGAGTAACATTAGTGGATAAGCTGGTGTGGATACACATACTTCTCAGTTTTCTTATATTTATGATTTAGATATATTTTCAATCATGCAAGTCCTTTGGCTTAGCTATGCATAGTCATATATAAGAATTAGTATATTGAATATTTACATAGTACTGAACTATTCTTGCAGTGGATTCAATTTCATCTTTAGAAATGAGTTCTGTTTCTGAGAGGATTCCAGCCAGTCCACTGCGAGTGCCACCTAGTCCTTCAAAATTTTCCATGTCACCAAAACTTAATAGGGTTGGATCGGTTCATCTTTCTATGAGCCAAGTTGCCAGAGCAACACATAATTTCGCGCGTTCACAAATAATAGGTGAAGGAGGGTTCGGAGCTGTCTACAAGGCCGAGCTACCAGACGGCCAGGTCGTTGCCATTAAACGGGCAAAAAAGGTATACTTCTGATTCTTTTGCTAGACTTTGAGTTTGCAGATTCTGCAATACTCTCTTTGGTGTGCGAATAATTGATCATAACATTGTTTTTCCAAAGGCATGGTGTGCCAATATTATTGCTCAATGATTAACCACAGCAATCAAGTTACCCTTGCTTTATATACTAATAAAGAAAGTGACAGCGACAGCTGTTGTAAGGAAAAAAAAAGTGAAAATAATGTTACTTAGATGGTCTAAGGCCCATTGGGCTTGAATGAGTGAATGGCTCCAACAAGATTGAAAGAGTAATTCAATAGCAATAAGAACAGCAACTATATATGAGAGTGGATGCTGGGCTATCAAGAAATGTATGAATATTGAGTTTAGTTAAACTCGAGCATTGTAATAAATTTAACTTCTATGATTTTTCATTTTTTTATTTTTTGCAAACAATTAGTAACAATTATTTTATTATTTAACTGTGGATTTTAGATTTTCTCTATGCACAGGAATCTAATTGTAAGAAGCCTGAATTTTCATTTCATTTACTTAAGAACATGAATGAGAACTTGAAAACATTAGCATTGAGCTTTCACTCTTTGAAATATGGGAATTCCAGAATTGTAATTTCAATAAATAATGTAGACGTTTTGGACATTAACAATTGTTAAAAAGAATGATTGTTCTTTCACTTTATTTAGCATTCTACGAGAAGATTTTGCTCTGTTATGTGAGAGCTAAGAGTGATGCAAAAACTGATAATGTACTTAATTTTTACATTTTATAAGTGTTATTTGTAGATATTTTCGCCATAATTCTAAGCTAAAAGAGATGTATGTCGTGGCCCACCCATTGCATAGAAAATGAAGAATGGGAACTGAAGTTTGGAGTCTTGTATTCATTCATTCAAGTGTTTAGGCTAAAAATAGTAATGTCGCGAGGTTTAACGAAGTTTTATGCTGGTTGTCTATCTACTGCAGCCCCCCTCTTTAATCCGAGCTTGAGATCGGCTAAAAATAATAAATAGAAAGAATTTAGAAGTCACACCAAGGTAAAAGGAAGTGAAGCTGTGTTAAAGACACTTTTGGTTTCTATAGAAATATGTGTACTCAATGTTTCACCTTTATATTCCTCAGGACGTCATTTGCAATTATTCTTTCTGTTCTTTTTATTCCTGTTTGTTAGTTTGGGACCTTGATAGCAAATCCCTTTCCTTTGTCTGTTATGTTTGTTTGCCGGTTTATAAATACTTGTAATGGATCTGGATTTGAGCTAGAGCTTTGGTAAATAAAGAATTTTCATTCTCCTATTCTCGATTTCTTCATGGTATTAGAGCAGAAGATCTTGAAGATAGGATCTAAAGCACACTGATTACTTGTGAATCAAAATTGATTTTATTTCTGAATGGCTAACGAATTCGAAGAAGGTATCGATTCACAAACAAATGGAGATCAATCAAATAGAGGTCGACGCGAAGCAGATGACGGAGATCCACTTCAATTAGGTAATGCTGATCACCCAGACATGTCTCTTGTTACTGTACCTCTTACTGGAAAAAACTTTCTAGCTTGGAGTAGATCAGTTCGGATTGCCCTTAGTGAGAAAATGAAGTTAGGGTTTATTGATGGAACTGTTGAAACTCCAGCTAAGAATTCACCTCAGTTTGTAAAATGGAATAGAGTCAACTGTATGATAACTTCGTGGATCTTAAATTCTATTTCAAAGGACATTGTTGATGCCTTTTTATACACTACCTCTGCTATGTCAACTGTATGATAACTTCGTGGATCTTAAATTCTATTTCATAGGACATTGTTGATGCCTTTTTATACACTACCTCTGCTAAAGATCTATGGAGTGAGTTAGAAGAGAGATTCGGAGGCTGTAATGGACCACAATTGTATCAGATACAAAGGGAAATCAGCTCAATAACACAAAGTAATCAATCAGTATCTCAGTACTACACAAAATTGAAAGGATCGTGGGATGAATTAACATATCTTATGCCATTACCTGAATGTACCTGTGGATCTACCAAAGCAATCTCTGATATTACTTCATTCAATAGACTGATGCAATTTCTGATGGGATTAAATGAGGATTATGAACAAGTTCGAAGTCAAATTTTAGTCATGGAGCATTTACCTGTAGTCAACAAGGCTTATGCTATGATTCAAAGGATTGAGGAACAGAAGGAGGTTCATATTGCCTTTGGGAATGAAACTGAAATGAGTGCAATGTTCTCTAAGACGAATAATCTGAGGAAGGATCAGGGAGTTAGACCTATGGGAGGGAAGAGCTATGACATGGTGAAGAGGGGAGAAACAATTACTATATTGTACTCACTGCAAGATAAATGGACACAACAAGGATGGATGTTTCAAACTTATAGGATATCCAGATTGGTTCAAGCAATTAAAACATCAGAACAGATTTGGCACTATGAAATTTTCTGCAAATATGGCTGATACACCACTTAGAACGAATCAGGAAGCAAGAGATAAGATGCAGAATTTTAATCTGTCTGAAATGATACAACAGGAACTGGCTAAAATGATGAAAGGAAGCAATGGAGCTGACACGATTAACTTTGCTCATTTTGGTGATTTTGCAGGTTATGTTCTCAAACCTGAAGTCATTTTAACTTTTAATACTTCGAACTTGTTAGAAATAGGCTCTTGGATATTAGATACAGGGGCTTCTAATCATATGTGTAGCAACATTCATTTTTTCAATGAACCTAAACCCTGCATTTCCGCTATTCCTATTTATCTTCCGGATGCTTCAGTTAATTTTGTTCAAAACACTGGAGATATCCTTATTCATCCTTCCATTACCTTGAAAGATGTTTTACATGTTCCCACTTTCAAATTCAACCTGTTGTCTGTCAGCAAGTTGACTAAAAATTCGAATTTAAAACTCATTTTCTTTCACGATCATTGCCTTTTACAGGACCATCAGACTGAAGAAATCAAGGTTGTTGGTCGACAATTCAGGAATCTCTATGTTCTTGACAACACTTCATTTTTTCCATCACTTCTAAATAAATTCAAAACTTCCATTTGTAACTCTGTGTTTCCTCAATGTAATAATTCTCTTATTGTGTCTAACGCTGTGATTGATAAATCTTTGAATCTGTGGCATAAAAGATTTGGTCATGTTTCTACTCATGCTATGAAGCATTTAGAAATTTTGAAAAACTGTGATGATGATTGTCCTTCTTGTTGTGATATTTGTGCTATTTCCAAACAACCTAGATTACTCTTCCCTACTAGCACTATTCAGACCGCATTAGTTGGGGAAATGATTCATATCGATTTGTGGGGACCCTATAAGCTAGCTTCTATTTCAAGGGCATATTATTTTCTGACCATTGTTGATGATTTTAGTAGAGCCACCTGGACATTTCTTCTCAAACATAAGGCTCAAGTTTTTCAAACTTTTAAAGCCTTTCATCAGTTTCTTCGAACTCAGTTCAACATTAATATCAAATGTGTTAGATCTGACAATGGCACAGAATTCACTAATTCTGCTTTTCAACGATTCTTGATAGACAATGGTATTTTGCATCAAAAGACTTGTGTTTACACCCCTCAACAAAATGGGGTTGTTGAGAGGAAGCATAGATATCTTTTGCAAATTGCGAGAGCTCTTATGTTTCAAGCAAATTTGCCTAAATTTTTTTGGGGAGAAGCTATTTTGATGGCCACTTATATTATCAATCGCCTACCCACTCAGATTCTCAACTGGAAAACACCATTTCAGATCCTTCATAACAGAATGCCCTCTTACCAGAACCTCAAAGTTTTTGGCAGCCTTTGCTATGTTACCAACACACACCCTTTTCAAGGATAAATTTTCTCCTAGAAGCTTTAAATGTATTTTGTTGGTTATAGTCCTGGCGCTAAGGGATTTAAGGTTTATGATCTTCACAAACGACAGATATATGTCTCGAGAGATGTCATTTTCCATGAGAATTTTTTCCCTATAAGAATGATCCTTTACCTGAAACAAATCTGCCACTTCCTACTCCTATATTTGATCAACATCAGTCTGACCCCATTCCTGTTGAAACGCCTGATCTTCCTCCTGTCATGGATAATCTCCCTACTGATTCTGGAACTTCTCCTGACATTTAACCTTCAAATAATTCAGGCCAAATTCAACCTTGCATCAGACAAAGTATCAGACAAAAAACTCCACCAATATGGATGCAGAATTTTGTATCCAATCTTAGCCATTCTCCATTTCTCCTCCAGTTCCTGTTCATTCTTTCCAATCTTCTGTTCTTTCTTCCTTCACCCCTAACACTTTTCCATATTACACTTCCCTCGATGTTAACCCTACATATATTGATTTTTTGGCTAACATTACTATTGTCCAAGAGCCTACTTCATACAGAGATGCAAGCACGAAGGTTGAATGGTCTGATGCTATGAGGGCAGAACTTGATGCTTTGGAGAAAAATGAAACCTGGGAATTAACCACTTTGCCATCTGGTAAGAAGCCTATAGGGTGCAAGTGGGTTTTTAAGGCTAAGCTAAAGGCTGATGGTACACTATATAGGTGTAAAGCGAGGTTAGTTGCAAAGGGCTTTAATCAAATTCATGGTGTTGATTTTTTTAAAAGTTTTTCCCCAATTGCAAAACCTGTTACCATTAGGTTATTCATTGCTATTGCCACTGCTAGACTTTGGCCTCTTTGTCAGCTCGATATTAATAATGCGTTTTTGCATGGTTTGTTGAATGAGGAAGTTTATATGTTGCCATCCCATGGATATGATAAGGCTGTTGCAGGTCAGGTTTGCAAACTTAATAAGTCCCTTTATGGTCTGAAGCAGGCCAGTCGACAATGGAACTCTGAATTATGCAAGCACCTGATTGGCTTTGGTTTTCAACAATCTCAGCATGATCACTGTCTTTTCACTATGCATACTTCTTCTTCTTTCACAGCACTCCTGGTATATGTTGATAACCTGCTTCTTACTGGTAGTGATGATTTGGAAATTACTTGTGTTAAGGATTCTTTGCATAAAGCCTTCACTATCAAGGATCTGAATTATGCCAAGTATTTTCTTGGCATTGAAATTGCTAGGTCCACAGATGGCACATATCTAAATCAGAGGAAATATGCCCTTGATCTCGTCACAGATGCTGGACTTTTGGGTGCGAAAAGTACTCATACGCCATTACCTAAGGGTCAAAAATTCTTTGCCTCTGACCAGGAGCTTCTTCCAAATCCTGAACGATTTCGAAGACTTATTGGCCGCCTACTTTATCTTACTCTTACCAGACCGGATATTACTTTTGGTGTTCAACAATTAAGCCAATTTGTGCAATGCCCTTCTGTCTCTCATTGGAATTTAGCTCTACACATCTTGCGATACATTAAAGGTACTTTATCGAAGGGATTATTTTTTCCTGTTACTAATAATTTTGCTTTGGAAGCATTCAGTGATGCGGATTGGGCGACATGTCCTGATACTCGCCGTTCATTGACTGGATACTGCGTCTTCTTTGGGGGTGCCCTCATCTCCTGGAAAACCAAGAAACAAACTACCGTTTCCAGGAGTTCTGCAGAGGCTGAATACAGAAGCCTTGGTTCTACAGTTTGTGAATTGCAGTGGATTCACTATATTCTCCAGGTTTTCCAGATTTCTGTTCCACTTCCGGTTCCACTTTGGTGTGACAATCAAGCAGCCCTCCACATTTGTGCCAATCCTTTTTTTCACGAGAGGACTAAACATCTTGACATTGATTGCCATGTTGTTCGTAACCAATTCAAGCTGGGTTTTATTCTTCCTCGACATGTTTCTACCAATGATCAGATCGCTGATATTTTCACCAAGTCTTTACCTGCGCCTCAGTTTTGTTTTCTACTGTCCAAGTTGGGTTTGATGGACTTCCATCATAGTCCCACTTGAGGGGGGGGATATAGAAATATGTGTACTCAATGTTTCACCTTTATATTCCTCAGGACGTCATTTGCAATTATTCTTTCCGTTCTTTTTATTTCTGCTTGTTAGTTTGGGACCTTGATAGCAAATCCCTTTCCTTTGTCTGTTATGTTTGTTTGCCGGTTTATAAATACTTGTAATGGATCTGGATTTGAGCTAGAGCTTTGGTAAATAAAGAATTTCCATTCTCCTATTCTCGATTTCTTCAGTTTCTGTAATAAAATGAAATGATCAAATTGGAATTGCAGGGAAAATCAAAGTGGAACTGGTAGACAATATTTTTTTAGTGAGACATGAATTAAGACAGTTTCTTTGTTCAAACTCTTTCCTTTTCCTTTGCCAACATATAATTCTGTAAGTAAATGATGTTTAATTGTTGAAAAAAAAGGAACACTTTGAAGCATTGCGGACTGAATTTAAGAGTGAAGTTGAACTTCTGGCTAAAATTGATCATCGGAATCTCGTCAAGCTGCTTGGTTATGTTGATAATGGAGATGAGCGTCTGATTCTTACAGAGTATGTGCCAAATGGTACACTTAGAGAACATCTAGATGGTAAACCTCTTAAACTCTTGAGACATCAAAAATATTCTGGTCAGGCGAGTATAATTGCAATATTTTGGCTGATTTCCTTTGCAGGATGGAAGGGAAAGATATTGGATTTCTGTCAGAGACTTGAAATATCCATTGATGTTGCTCATGGCCTAACCTATCTCCATATGTATGCAGGTGATAGCTCTTTCTGCAGAGTTGATTTGCTTTTGTAGATTTTTATATCGAAGAACAGCTACTACAATGAAACTGAAAACTACTGACGCTCTATGCACCAATACCGTGTTATTACCTAGAGAACTACAATTAGGACCTTGATCCTTAAAGAGCTGTTTTGAATCATGAATTTACTCCCTGGTTTTCAATGATGTGCATTACAACATTATCTAGACTTTGGCTAAGGTTAAAAGAGAAAAAAGTAAAAGTTTGTTTATAGACGTGTTTGGATAATTTTTTTTTCTTACTTTTAATAAATAAATTATTATTTTTAAGTAGCTCTTACATTACTTATTTATTTTCAAATTTATTCAATAAAAAATTATTTATTTTTAATCTTACTTGTTTACTTCTAAGTAAAATTTAAAGCTTATCCAAACACGCTCACTTAATTTTTTCTTGTAATTTCTGTTTCACGGTATAATCATGTTAAAATCTTCATGCAACTTTGTCTATTTTAATGTCACAGTCTTATTTTCTATTTTCATGTGGTTTGTGGCTATTCTCTTTGGATCTTATGTAGAGAAGCAAATTATCCACAGAGATGTGAAGTCCTCCAATGTTCTTTTGACTGAGAGCTTGAGAGCCAAAGTTTCAGATTTCGCGTTTGCAAAGATAGGGGAGATGGACTCTGAGAAAACATATGTTTCAACCCAAGTAAAGGGCACAGTTGGTTACCTTGATCCAGAGTATATGAAGACATATCAACTTACATCCAAGAGCGATGTATTCTCATTTGGGGTACTGTTAATAGAAATTTTAACTGGTCGTCAACCTTTGGATTTGAAGAGACCACTCGATGACAGGGTGACAATTAAATGGGTAAGCTTTTCTCTCTTTATACGTGACAATGTTATTCACATTAGTCATTATGTAAAACCTGTGTTACGTGGAGAATGTGAACCAATAAGACTTCATAATGTTTCTGTTTTGATACTTAACTTCATTATCGGTATGCTTGTTTCTTTTATGTAAACTATTTATTCCAGTAATTTGAGAAAGCAGAAAAAGAGGGACAACCAAAGAGAAATAAGCAAAGAGCATATTTGCAAAAGAGTATATTACAAGGGGTTTGGCTATAAATGCAATTTTAATCTGTAGTTAATGAACTGACAGCCTACCCTCTCAGGGATTCATCGTTGCAAAGTCATGGTGTATGATTTATTAATGTTTGTGCTGTTATCTTTTTAAGCTTAATTTCTGAAATTTTAATCTTTTCATAAGGTTGCTTTCTCTGAAAAGTTCCTACAAACCCACCCTGTCTGGCCCTTTTCACATTTTCATGAAGACCTTATTTTCCCATCTTTAGTGTACTAATTACACCATAACCCCAGTCCCCCAAAAGGAAAACACATGGCCAATGTGCATCCATGTTCCTTAGTTCCCCCGAACTAAGTCTTCGAAAACCATCTAATATGGAATGAATGGCTGGTTTCAGATTCAATTTTTGAATAAAGAAAAGATCTGTGGAACTCATCATACACACTGTTTATATAGGCTTTCAGGAAGTATAATGAAGGAAAACTTTTGGAGATGTTAGACCCTATGATGAAGGAAACAGTAGATAAAGAAATACTGGCGAAAATGTTTGGTTTGGCCATCCAATGTGTGGCACCTACACGAACTGATCGTCCAGACATGAAATCAGTCGCGGAGCAGCTCTGGGGAATTAGAATGGACTACTCGAGAAGCGGAAGGAGAGATTGACAGGTGAGCGTTGAAAACAAAGTTTATATGGTGTTGCTATGGTTTTCTATTCAATCATTATTCTTTATGAACAAAGGACAAATGAGTTAACAGATCTTTCTTGATGGATACTAGCCTGTGCTATCAATATGAATCGAAGAATTAAGTCATTTGTAATTGCATTCTTCTTGTCATCTTCTTTACTTCCCTTAAAACAATTTTTAGGTTACTTCTCTAATTAGTAGATATGGGTGGGAGCGCCAACTTTGCGTTTTCATGCAATTCCTGCAGTGTGCAGTATATCATAAGAACTTCTTTTAAAGAGAGGAGTTTATCAATGATTAGACAGTCTATTTTTTCGATTGCTTGGCATTAGTAACATTATTTGCTTAAACTGAATCCCTCTATGGCGCTGCATTTTCCCTCTGCTAAGCAGTAATTCTCAATATGCTTCTGTTGAATGGTTTGAAACATAGCAGAATTGTTTCATTAACAATGAATTCATGGTATTTGAAACCACTTTTTGTGGCTTTTGGTTTTTAATTAGACTGGATTTGACAGGACAGTATTAAGAGAGAGACGTGATCAAATTTATGAATTGTTCATGGTATCCCAAAACGGGGCTTTTTTTCTTAGTTGTTCTGATCTCATTTTATACCTGCTCTTTGAGATTGTTCCTTGGATAGTAGCCATGTAGTTTTTTATATTAGACAACAATAATCCTTTATCTTTAATTGTTGGGCAAAAAAATTTTGTTATTCACAATGAGATATCTTCCAACTTAGGCCCCACAAGTACAGTCCATGTCGATCTGTCCAATCGAACTTAAAGGTTTTTAATGGTCAAACATGCACTCAGTGTTAGAAGAACCGAATCAGATTGTTGTTGTCGACTTGAAATTCACATTAGACCAATTGAGCGCTCCTTTGACTTGGTCGAAAGAGTCTACCTACCAAAAAGTCCAAACAAGTCAACTTGGCACTTTAATCAAATATCCCATCAATAGAGGTCGAAGTCAAACTATAGAAGATGTATATCATCATGACACTACAGAGAAAGTGCTCCTCTTTGACGGCAGCACCACCAACCCGGCCAATCAGGAAGATGACTTGATGGCTTAGGATATAAGCCTAATGCCTAAATGTCATCATGACTTCTCCTCAATCGAACTCACCAATTAATCACTTTTTTTTCGAATGGGGAATGACACACAGTTTTAGTTCAGGACCACTGTAACTTAAGATAACTAGGATAATAAGCTTTAGTCCATCAACCTATATAAAAATAATAATAATAATAAATCTCTCTATACAATTACTAAGCTTCAGCAATATAACATTTTTGTTCAGTTAAATCAAAAAATGTTGATAAAAAATGTCATGTTATCTTTTTTGCCATCAACAAGAACAATTAATTGAATAAAAAAAAATCAAATTTTAGTTCAATTAATGTTTAAAAAAAAAATAGAAATTTAGAATAGATCGAAATAATACTGTTTAAGGCTTTAAGCTAAAATTTGTTTTCATTTAATTTATTTAAATTTTTACTGGCTGATCCTTAATCTTTTTGGAGTTAATTTACAAGCCAATTTTCAAAACAATTACCTCTTGAATGATTGAGAGAGAGAGAAGTGAGGGAAGCAGTGTACCAATATATATCTGACATGGATGATGAATGGACATAAAAAGCTCGAAAAATGCTTCTTTGGACGGACTAAGTGTAGGGATGGAGAGACAGGATGATGTGATTGATAAAAATTGGGTATTGTACTTTTACTTTTTTCAAATTGTCAAATCGTATGTCGACACGTGTCCTCACTATTTTTGAACCTGTTTGTGTAGCACAACTTAAAAAGCTCCACGTTTTCCATTCTTCCAATCTTTAGCTCCATTTTGAGATGAAGTCATTTGCATGTTATTGATCAAAAGTGAAAAACAAGTAAAAATAAATTATTACACATTTAGTTGTCGACATAGGTAACTTTTTTAATTTATTATAGTGAACACAAGATTTTATCGACATTCTTATTGAATCAACGAGATTTTAATTCGATTTTAACTGAAATTTTCTATCGATTTAGACTAGAGGTGGATTTAGTCTTGAGCTGGCCTGAGTGAACTCATTTTTTTATTAAAAAAATGATTTTTCATAATATAAAAAAATCACGTGAATATTTTTTTTAAATATCAGTTCAACGTGAAAGATTTTTTTAATTCAAACCTGACTCTGCCCCTAATTTATTAAAAGCTGATAGGTTCATCACTGATACGCATTTCCTCCTCTTCTTTCTAAAGCTCATTTGGCGTTTTCTTAATTTCTGGATCATACGTAGACGCACGCAACCTAACTTGTGTCGGTTGCCGGCCGACTTCTAAAAAAGAATAAGTTATTTGTTAGAATAATGTTATCTATTATTAGTGTTAAAGTATCAATCTATGTGACCTTATATGATATGTTCGATTAAAGTGAAATTATTTGATTTATTTAATGACATTTATTGTCACATAAACTGATGTTGTAACACCAGTGATACTAAATAATATTAGTTTCTTGGGTTTTTAGAAATTTGAGGTGGGTCGTGTTTTCAATTTGGTCACGTGACAATTTAACAAAAAAAAATGACGCCTTCTTTTTTTATTCAATATTGATTGTGTAATTATAATAAGCCCTTGATTTGTGAGGATTAAAATCAGATTTGATAGGATTAAAATCAGATTTTTAATATATTTTGATAAAATTAAATTGATGAAATATGTGGTTGGAAAATTATGAATTATATTTAATATGTGAATAAAATTACTTATTGACTTTGATTTAAATTAAAATTTAGATTTTAATCCCCTGTCAAACAGGACTAAATTATTTTTCTTACCAATTGGAGACCAACTTGTTATGAGGAGACTCATTGTGCAAATTTCCCTATAGATCCATGTTTACTATGGCCTTACACGCTATCCCATTCTCACTTTCACTTTACTACAACTCTCTCTCTCTCTCTCACAGATGGGACGCTATGCAACTGTCTTCTTCATGCTGATGCTTGTCATGCTAACTGGTTTGTATCTTCTTCTTTGTTAAGCTCTGAAGCAAATCTTTCAAGGCGCATTTTACTTGCACGAGTCTGTCTTATCGTTGAAGAAAATTAGCCCTTGTTTGACCTCATATTCTAAATCTCATTTTTTCTTTAAACTCGTTTTCTCAACCTCTCATTTTATGGGATTTACAACTTTATCAAATACACATTCATCGATATTTATTAAAATCTACTAAAAATGTGATTTTTGGCTAAACCAAACAAGGATTTAAAATATTTCCTAAAGAAAAATGAATTTTTTAGACCAGATGCGCTTAAGTCTCTACAAGTTGTGTCATTCGAACTCAAATGAAATTCTGACTATCTATAAGAGAATTAAGGAACAAACAGATCTTGTAGGCTTTAAATAAGATTTTTATTTATTTTTCTTTTTCGATTAGCTTATTCAACTTATTGAATAAGTCATGTACACTCCCTATGGAGGTTTTCAAGGTTATTGTGGGTCAATTGCATACACCAAATTATTGCACTTGCATAACCTCTTTACAGTCATTAAGCTGCAATTTGAAATTTACAATGTTTTTATTAGTGATTAGCAATATTTAGATTAAAATTCAAATTTTAATTTAAGTTTAATTCAATAATTAATTTTAAACACAAATTTCTAGTGATTGACAACTTTTCAATCACACGTTTCATCATTTTTTTTAATCAAAATTTATTAAAAATTTTATTTTAATTCACATCAACATATTTTATTAATTATTGATCAACTACTTAAATCTTCAATTTCTTGAATATTTTTGTTAGGTCCACTAATGGTGGCAGAGGCAAGGACTTGTGAATCCCAAAGCCAACGGTTCAAGGGACCATGTGTGAGTAAAAGCAATTGTGCGTCGATTTGCCAGACTGAGGGATTTCCCGATGGCCGCTGTAGGGGCTTCCGCCGCCGCTGCTTCTGCACCAAACATTGTTAATTCCCCCGTTTTTACAGTGGTGGACCGGTGGTGGTGGTGATCAATATTCCTTGAGAATTAAATAAGTGGGTGTTTTCTGCTCAGTCTTTCGTGACTATCAATTAACGTGTGTTTTAAGTAACGTTGTAATAAACAAATTACTTTCATGTTATATGAATGAGAAAGTCCATCCACGGGACGCAACAAAAAACCTTAAATCGCATATATAAGTAGAAATGCCCATCCTATCCTCATTGATCTTTTATCAATTGGCTAAGCTTAAAAGTTACCTTCGTAAAAAATAAGTTAAAAGTTTACTTTAAAGTAACTTTTGTAAGTTAAAAAAGAAACTTGCTACTTTTTAAGCTTAGTCAAATATTATTCAACCATTGCTCACTGAGGTTTAACTTAAGCATGAAAACGGGCTACTATGACAGTGAACTAAATCTGCAGGAAAGCAAAATTCATAACCTTAGCAAAGAATTTGAAACTAAACTAACTTTATCGTTGTAGTAGTACCAAAGATAGCTGAAATTCAACATTAATGTGGTGCATTTCATTAAGCTTATAGTTACAAATATGTAAAATATATATTCCACAGTTCAATACATAGAAAAATTGCGAAAAAAAATCGCCTAACAGAATAATAAGGGCCTTTTACGGGTGTATCTCTGGATCGTGAATGAAGGATCAAGTTCAGTACAATGAAAAACTACAAGGGAAGCCTACTAATGGGGTAAACGAAAGCTATTTGAAGACGTGATTAAGGTTGTCTGCAGTGATTTAGTAGCTAATTTTGCCTATTCTGGGCAAGTATTCGGTCCTGAGGGATCTACTCAGTGGCAGACATTTATTTGATAATTGGTTTAAGAATAGTTGATACAAAGCAGAATTTCAAGTTGCTGCTTCATATAGAGAACCAATTCTTTTTTTACTTACCGGACTGCAAATGGATGTATTCTGATGAAGGTTCTTTACTGCATTGAAGATGCAAAAGAATATATTGTTGTGTCATTTAGGAACTCTGCACGTACAAGGCTATTCACAAAACTCCCGAGCATAGTCGCACAGCTTTACTATAACTCTCTAAATAAGTCTGTCCAAATGAGGAAACTGGAACCGTAACCTTTTCCACCTGCCTCGTGCCGCCAAAGGATGCAAATGCAGGATATGTTCTGGCATGAAATCGTGCCTCGTCATTATACCCACAACTGGAACTCGCTGCGAAAAGCAATACGACCATTAGAAAACTAGAAGGACCATTGAAGCACCGGAAAAAAACGCTTGCAATGCATATGCTTTACATTTGTGGGTGATAACTTGTGCACATAGAAGTGGTGCATCATAAGAAGTTGTGATGGAACTTCGTTCAAAGAGAAAGCATAACGCACTAGTTTTTTTCAGGATCACATGGAAAAGAAGAAAACTTGAAGCATGTTTGGCTAAGTTTAAAAATACATGTTAAAAGTTCTGAGCTAAATAATTTCTTTCATTTGTGAAAGTTAGAAATAAGTATTTGACGGTAAGGTAATTAGGAAAGAGTTAATTTCAAAATAAGTTACTTTTTCACCTAAAAGTAAAAGTAAGAAGAAAGTAATATATACAAACATGTTTGGAAACAAAAAAGTTAATTTGAATTAACTTTTACATTTTTTAAGCTTAGTCAAATATACCATGTAAAGAGAAATATTATAAAAGCATGATGGCTGTCAATAACGAGAAGAGGAGAATCACAGTCAACATGATGATGCATTAATCAAGTAAAACAGAAAGGCTTATCAGCATGTGAAATACTTCAGATGCAGCACTAGAACAGGAAACAGTAAGAATGTTGATGGTTCAAAATATCTTACCCCAGGAACCTTGGGAACAACCAACAGGTGCCTTAAGCCAACTTCCCGGAAAAGCACGAGGGCCTTTGCTAGAGACATTGTCTCTACAACGGTGTAGGGTGTTCCATTGGTGAAAGGATGCAAATCCACGAACATTTCCATCTCTTCATCTGACAACTCTATATCTTCAATTTTATCACCATTGTCCAAACCCTTCTTGGCAAAATCATCAGAGGAAAACTGTACAAAGGCATCAGGTCCAATTGGTGTCGGAGTTCGCAAGAAAGCTTTCTTCTTTAACAATGTGATAAGATGGGCGCGCAGGATTAAACCAAATAGAACTGGAGACTCAGAAAGTGGGGGCTCATCTACCACCGGGAACCCATTATGTCCCGTGGTTTTGAGAACATGAACTATATTACCAACCTTCTCAATGCCATGGAAGATCTGTAGTGGCCCTGTAACCACATCACCAACTGTCAATTGCCTCATGTATGGCTCTGCATGAGTTTCTAAGTAAGGAAAACCCTTCGATTTCATGATGAGGTCATATATATTTCCATTAAATGCATCGGCTACAGTCTTGGAGATAAGAAGAACAAGCATTATAAGTGGCAGCAACAATAGATTGTTGGTCAGTTCGAGAATTATCACACATAAAGAAACTGTCATCCTCATAGATCCCCCAAGAAGAGAAGCTGAACCCAGAACAGCGAAGAGGCCATGGTTTAAGTTCGAGTGCCAACCAATTAACATCCCAACAAAACGTCCATAAGCTGCACCTGTCACGATAACTGGCACAAAGAGACCCGCAGGAGCCACAATTCCATAACTAAATATGCTCAGGAAAAAGCACGTAACAAAGAAAATTAGCATTGATAAGCGATGGAACTCTAAGTCAGTATCTTTGCTGAAGAGGTTCTTGATAGCATCATCATTCGTGTTGAAAAAGAGACTTGCGAGATCGTTATAGTAACCAGGAGGACACTGAAATTTCTTGTAATTACCAGAACGCCCGATTGTGGGACAAGGCTCCGATGCATCTGATGGACAAGAACGGCAAGATGCAAGCCATGGTAATCCAAATAGAAGACAGGAAGTGAAAATGGAGATACAGCAAGCCAAAATTATCTTGCAAGCAATTCCTTTTCTGAGATGGAGAAGAAGAAAATGGTGAATAATACTCGAAGTGATAAAACTGTCAGGCTAAAATGATATCTGATCCACATCATAACAGCAGATAATGAAGCAAAGAATGAAAAGTAAAAATTGAAGTCTTACTCATTTATAAAATTATAAAGTCGGAGAACCTTATTTAGTAAAAAATTGTAGATACTTCCTAATATGCCACCTATGATTCCAAGAACGAGAACAGGAGGCACATCCCTGAGGTGATAAGATATGTTTGCCGAGGTGACATCATACATAATAAGACCTCCTTTACCAAATAGTCCACACTTGCCTCTCAAACAGACATCTATTAGAGCCCGAAGCACAATTGCAACAACGGCAGTAGTGAAGAAAGCTCTCCACAGCAGAGCACTTCTCCACCTGCAGAAGAAAATCATGACTGACTGACTTCAATAGAGGGACATGTAAAGGAATCTCCACAATATCACATAGTTTATAATCACCAAAAAATTAACATCATTTAGTGATGCACGCCAATATATTTATACAATGGAAATATCATGCCGTAGAATATCAAGCATTGACCAACTGTGCTCACAAAATAGCTGGCATAGAAAAGGAATAGGACCCGCAGAACAAAGCTTACCATAATCTAGGGTCATATAAAATACTTAGTAAGATTATACAGGAGTCAGTGTTATGGACACAGGATTCTCATCACCAGTGTAACTTGCAGCAAAGGGGGTAGGCAAGTATAAATATAAATCATTCATTGAGGTTGAAAACAATCATAAACAAAATAAATGTATATCATGGGGCTTTAAGTTATACCAAGATGCCATTTCCTCAAGAGCAAACAACACACCACCAACAGGAGCACGGAAAGCAGCAGTAATTCCTGCAGCTGATCCACACGTTACAAGATCTCGCCTGTCTCGATCATTTTTGAAAACTTGCAACCACTTCCAGGTCAACCCATATTTCTTTGACCCTCCCTGACCCATTATTGCAGCTATGCAGGCTCCAGTATGGACCATTGGCCCTGCCTTTCCAATATTAAGAGATGCTGACACGGCGCATATGCTACCGACAATCTGTGTATTAGATCTCCATCAGGTAAGACCTCAAACTCAAAACTGATTGTACTGAGTTTAAAGATAGGAAAGTACATCAGATCTCAAGAAAGGGCCAGAAAAAAAAAAATTCGAAGGAAGTGGTTCAATGCCAGAAAAATATGGTGCAGTAAGTATATAATTTTTACAGCCTCAAGGTTGAAAGCATATAAACGTCATAGTGGAACTTGAAGACAGATACAGAAAGATAATAGAATGCGGATGATGGCTTTCCATATTTATGATGCTCCTGTAACATTACTTGTCTATACTCTCACTTCTAATATCTCCCTAGCTGTAACTGTAGAAAACAGTCATTTGAATTAATTCATGAAGTCCGGTGTCAACTGCCCCTCCTCTGGTACTCGATAATGAACATATAGACACTTATCCCCTAATACAAATAGAGAAATTTCCAATTTCTTGATCCTTACTCAAAACTAGGTAGGTATGCTCCTCATGACAGGAATGGAAAGTGGAAAACTTGGTGGCAGCAAAAGGGGAAAACTAAATGCACATTAATAATGTAGATTATATAAGAAATGGTAGGTCAATCAAAGTTATCAGGATGAATAATTGGGGTTGAGTTTGTGCAGTTTGGAATGGGACTGTGAAGCCTGTCAAAAAATGTTGTACAACTGCAAAAGCATAAATGGATTATTGGCACCCCTTGAATCTTGCACAATTAAGGCTTTTCCTTGAAGTAACTTGATTAGGATGATAAAATTCAAATCTCCAATATTGTAATTTTGGGACCAATAATCCATTACATTAGTTATACGTTCGTCTTGGAAGTTCAAGTTTCTGGATCAAAGTAATTTAAATCACGACCTACCTTTATTACTTGGAATGTCCACTCCACACAATATTATCTAATTAATATATAATCCTCGAGTAATCGAGCAATTCTCCTACAGAATAATATCTTGGTAAGAAAAACAGTGGCGTTGAGAGAGGGCAATGCAATCCAATGACTTGAATCCCAAAATACCTTGACAAACAGAGTCCGTAGAGAAAAAATTGCTGGAGCGTCAACACCATTCAGGTAAGCCTTAACCTCTGGTATGCCTGAACCAGCAGCCTCTGGAGCTATAAGAGCAGTGATCAGGCTTGCAAACAATGTCAACCCAAGATTTGAAGATGCAAATACTAGGAAAGCTGCCATGTACCTGCCCTCAAATTCACAACCAATTAAATATATAGTACAGAAACAGAATCCCCACACAACTTTTTTCTTTGGGAAACAGGCAAATATATTGGAAGCAAAGTCTGTAACTTAACTAAAACTAAAATGTGTCAAAAAAGTACCATCTTCACACGGAAAAGAAATATTTTGAAATAAAAATTCATAAAATATGAAATTTAAGTGAAGTTAACAAAAACAATAGAACTTCAAACACATGAACTTAAAGAATTGAGATTTTACTTTCGGGCTAACATCATGTTGGAGGTGATAACGAATTTTTTGCCAGCAATGTTTTCAATGGCAAGATTGTTGAAGAACCCAAGGAGGCTAACAATAATTCCAATAAGAAAACACAGCATCCATTTTGTGAAAATGTATTGAAATATCTGGATCTTCCCTCTGCTTCTCCAATCTTGCTTAAAAAAATCATTCTCGATAAGCCTACATAGAAAAGATTCACTTATTTAGATGCATAGTTGTCAGATTAGAAGGCAAAGAAGACAAGAAAATAAGTGTCTCTCCTCACATTTTTCTTCTATTATCAATATAAGAAATCATACACCTAAGCATGGCCGCATATTAAGTGAAAGCATTTTACATCCTTCATTTTTCTTACTCGATGCAGAATCTTTAAATTTATTCTCCAAATATAATTGGGAAAAAAAAAATAAAAAGATTATTAGGATCAGAGGCAAATTGCTTGCAATAATTCCTAAGGAACATAACTAACGTCTACTTGTACTGCTAAAATTTTTTAGGACTTCTCAAAGAAACCTGCAGAAAGATATAGTCGAATTAATCCTGATTCGAAAAGGAAAATAATAGAAACAGAAAGAAAGAACATTAAAAAATAATTCACTTTCCCAGTTGCCACGAGAAACAAGGTAACTATAGAAGTACTAGCAAAACAAAGCAGAGGTAGTCAATTGCCTTCCATTTTTCTCTTCCAGCACAAAAATCATACTCAATTTTTTTGAGGTTTTCCACTTCAGTACGAGACAAAATATTAATTTTCATATCAATCAAAACACAAATCATAAGGCAATAAAAAAAGTCAATTATCAATGCTTTCAATATATAAGCGGCAGTCATTGCACTACATAAAACTCACTCAGCCAGTTCCTCTTAAGCATTCATGCTCCTTTCAATAATGCTATGAACATATATATATCACCCCCCCAAGTCCACCCACACACACATATGTATTTATAGGAGTGATATATGTGTATGTACAACTGAAAGAGCAAATTTTGTACTCATAGTCGAGGCTTTCGATAGGGCAGAGATTGGAGCCAACAATTGCAACTTGCGAAGTATTATTAAACTGCGATAGCTGCAGATCCAGTGGCGGCTGCTGCCGTTGATGCTGAAGCAGCGGCTCATGCATCACCGCTGCCGTCGCCGAAACCTTCAAATTCGGAATCTCCTTCGACATAAAAAATTACAGGGAAAAAGGAAGAGAGAATTAGAGCGATAATAAATAATGAATTTTGAGTTGGTGAGACTTGAAGGGAGAAGGAAGAAGACAAGTTGCAATTAGTAGAATCTGGAAAGGTTTCGCTCACGTTAATAATTATTGGATGTCGTGATATGAATGGCAGATATTTAGGTTCGAATTTCAAAATAAAATAAAATGCATCTCAGCTAAGTAACTGAATTTTTATTTTCCAACTTACGTGAAATTGAAAAATGACGACCGGTCGGATCCTTACTTGAAAAAATGTAACTGATCAGGGGTGGTAAAAAATGTAAAATAAATAAATAAAAACTAATAAAGCGGTAAATCTATTTACAATTTGTTTTGAAATTTAATTGATGGGTTGGACAAAACTTTAGGTCAACCACCCTTCCACCAAATCGTAACTTCGTTACGGAATCTAAATAGAATGATTAATTATTATTATTATATTATAGTGCAAATTATTGTTTAGCCCCTATTTGAGTCACGTTGAAATTTTAATTTTCATTCTTATATTCATTTTCAACCACATATATTTCAATAAAATAATATTTCACATCACATCAATAATTTTTCCTTCTTTTTCAACCATACATTCTCCATCAATCTGCTGTTCCACATTTTTCCAAAATAATATGGCTCAAACACACCCTTAATCTTTTCAAGATCCGATCTAGAGATAGTCAAGACTCATTCAAAATAAAAGTTCGAGTTTTTGGCACATTTTGTACCAATATTTTTGAAATATTACTAATCTATCCTTAATTTTTTTTTTTTCTTGGCGTCAGACATCATCGAGACTTATTTGTTCATTTTGAAAAGATTTAGGATTCTTGTTATTTTCCTTTTATTTATTTTTATTTAATTGCTATCTTTTGTTTTATTATTTATTTAAAGAGAGAACAAATTCATCATTTAATGTGATCAAAATGGTGGAAAGACGAGATCTGCCATAGTTTTGAAAATTTGAGGATGTCTGGTACCGAAATAAAGGTCGAGAGTAGATTAGTAACATCTCAAAAAGATTTTGAAAGAAGAGTGCCAAAATCCTAAAATTTCACTTCTGAAATGGTTGAGAATATAGACCATCAATCTTCAGTGTCTATTATAAAAACAAATAAAGATTCTAATTACTCATATTGAATTCTACTTGACAGAGTACCTTCTTATTCTTCCTTTTTTATAAATCGATGAATTATACTGAAATCTGGGGACTATTTTGAATTTAATTCCAGATTCAAGGATGTAAAGTGAAATTTTTTTTTTTAAAACTTTATCGACACCACGTTGGTCGTTTACTTTAATTTGTCCTATGTTTGGTGACGAGTTTCTCTTTGTGATTCCAACCACAAACTCCACGTCAGCTTTTTGTATAAATAAATATGAAAAATGTGGCAGTTATTTTGGACCACACTCATACGAGAAGGTACAATTAGTGTAGATTAAAATCAGATTTTAAATAGATTGTGATAAAAATTTTTGAAATGTGTGGTTGAAAAGATGTGGGACCTATGAAATAGATGGTTGATATTAATTGTTTGATTTTGACTTATATTAAAATCATATTAAAATCTGGCCCAAACAGACCCTAAATATGACAGATAATATCTATTTTAAATATTATTAGGAGGAAAAATAAAATCTATAAAAAAAATATTACATATATCTTTCTTTTGTTCTGTCTTTTTCATTAATTATTGTTGGGAATGAATTAAAATTTTTGGTTTCATAAGAAATTGAATAGTACGGTTGAATCAAAAAGATAAGTATCGATGTTGTCAGATCCCTCTCAATAAATAAACACGTGCCATTTTGGTTTGGATATTGCTCAAAAGTATTAAGACATTATTGATATTACATTTCGAATGTAATTGAATAAATAATAGGGTTTTATATTTTTATTATTTCAAGCATATTAGGAGTGAATTGTTTTAAAAAATCAATGAACTTGTGACCATTGCTCACTGAACTTCATTCGATTTCACAGTACTCACTCAACTTTGCCATTTACCTCTCCATTCACCATTGTCAAAAAATCTGTTTGTTGGGCGCTGACGTGGCAGACGGAATTCATAGGTGGCGTCTGACGGCTGTTAAAAAATTACAAATCAGCAAAATCATTGTTTCATCACGCATCCAACTTACATTATGTCACAGTTTACTCATTGGTTCTTAATGGTCACTCATCTTTAAGAATTGCACAACATTCATTATTCGTCATATTTTATTCACTTCGTTGCTAATTTATTGTCCAAAAATTTAATGAGTAATTAAAATCATCAAAAAAATTATAACTCAACTAAACCATCAACACATGGAAATCACCATATGATCAATTGAATACAATTAAAAGTAAAATCAGTGAAATATAGACAAAATATTTTCACAAATCAAGTTAAGTTTTCGATTTTCAGCTTTAGATTGAAACCTATTTTTCACACAATAAACGTTCGAATTATATAAGTGATATTTCTAAAGAATAATTGAGAACGCTTTATTAGATTTTAAAAAAGTTTATGAGGCTGTGGAAGTCATGTTTCACACATGGTGATTTTAGTAAATTGATAGTTTCATTGAATTGTGATTTTTCTAATATTTGTAACTTATTATGTGGATTTTCTATGCGAGCATTAGCAACCAAGTGAACGAAATATGACTGATAATGGATTGAGTGCAATATCTCAAAGATGAGTGATCATTGAAAAACATTTTGAAGTTCGATGAGTAAACTGTGACCTAGAGTAAGTTGGATGAGTGATGAAACAATGTTTTTGCTGATTTGTAATTTTTTAACAGCCATCAGACGCCATCTAGAAATTTCGTCTGTCACGTCAGTGTCCAACAAACGGATTTTTTGACAGTGGTGGATGGAGAGATAAATGGCAAAGTTGAGTGAGTACCGTGAAGCAGAATAAAGTTCGTGAGCAGTCCATGACCATAGTATAAGTTCAGTGATTTTTGAAACAATTCACTCAGCATATTAGCATAAATTACTTTATTCTGATATTCCATAAAGCTTATCCTCTGACCGGTTCATGAATGTCAAAGACAGCATAAAGATCCAAGTTTATTACAACATTGTTGCACATTTCAATTAATATCCTTCTCTTCTACATGATCTATGAGGAATACATCAGTACTTACAAATAAGAACCAGACTCATCACTGATAGTAGAAAGAAACGTCTGTCGACGGGACAATTGCCGTAGCTTATCCCGACAAAAGCATGGGAATTCATAACCTCTGACTTCGCGGCAAATTCACGATGACTGAGTACAGATGGTTTTTCTTCAGTTTTCTTCTCCGTCGACTGTGTCCCCTGCATCACCACACACACATGTTTTTACTTATTCTTCATAAAAAGTCGTGAAACTCGATTATATGCTAGTAAACTTCCATGGTGGCTTTCAGAATTGTGCTTTCTAGTTTCTTTCAGATATGCTTTTGAATAACAAAAAGAAAACGGAAAATTATACTGTTCCAAATTTTTCATGCTTTGTATTTTAACTGAGAAAGTGTGAACATTTGATGGCAGAAAATTGTTAAAAGTAACTATTCCAATTTTCTTTCAGCATTTAGCTACTTTCTGAAAGCATGCTTACCAGTACTGATTGTGTAACACGAATGAATCTGTTGGTACTCTTTTGCCATCATCATTTCGGTTCCAATGGTAGATTGCATGTGTTCTGTTCTTAATCTCCAATGAAGAATGGCCATAACTGGCTTCCCGAAAAGCAGAATAGTCGGGTTGGGGATCTTTAAATCTGCAGATCCGTTACATTTTTGTTATTATAAAACCAAGTATCGTGGATGGTTTTCTAGTAAGAAAAATCTTTACCTTTGTGCAAGACCTTCCTGATTTCCTCCATCACCAACAGTTATATAGATAGGAGCCGATTTATCAGGTGCAGGAAAGGGACTACCACTTGATATATTGTAGCGTATGTTGGAGAAACGGTACTGAAATGAAGAAGAGTACAACTTGAGAAAAGAGGAACTATTGCAGTGCATCATTGAAACACAGCAAAAAATCAAATGTGAGCATTTTTTTCACAGGCTTTGAGTAGACACCTGAACGCATATAATTATACACATTTTGAGTCTACGTTGAAAAGAAACATTCCACGATTCTAGTTTTCTCATATGGAACTATGATGGAATGTTCAGGTTTTACTCAATTAGTTCATCCAAGAATGGCTCAAGGTTAGGCCTCTTTAACTTGAAAACCATCATTACTTACCAGGACACCGGGCTCAAAAATATATACCGAAAAAGGTTTCTATGGGATATTATATACCACTTGCAATATAGCTCTATGGGATAGATACCACTTGCGATAGCCAATGACACCAAAGGAGTACATAACATTGTTCATTTATTTATTTACATTTTTTTGTTTTGTGTGTGTGGGGAGGGGGAAGACTTAAAAATTAGGCTCACCGATCTTTCATAAGCATGGACATGACCAGCAAAGATGATATCAACTTTGTAGTGGCAAAACCAGCTCTCAAACACAACTCTCATGCTTTCCCCCTCCATGAAATGAGCATCATTACTATTGTACATTGGGACGTGCATCAGAACGATAAGCCAAGGAGTCTTCTCCCTGTCCACCCTTTTCAACTCTTCTGCAAGCCACCTCCACTGCGGTGTATATTTTACTGCCATGACATGGAGAAAATAAGAAAACTAAGTAGGTATAGAATTGAAGAAAAGACAACGAAAATAACGCAAACACCATTCAACTAGGGAGTCTATCTATAAAAACTCAGATCTCCACGTGGCATATAGATTTATCATTTATCCATACATCTTCGAAATTATCTGCAACAACTTAAACAGAGAGCCTAGTATACCTAAAGTCTCCACTTTTGCTAAATATCGTTTCTATTGTCATACTGCCATAATAGTTTAAGGTCTGGTAAGTCAAACTGAGATCAGACTGTGTTACTGCTCAGCATATTCACTTGTTATAATTGACCAGTGAATATGGTACACTACACCTGAAAAGCAATATAGAAAAAAAAAGGACTGGATATATCAACCACGAAACTTCAGTGAATATGCTGTGGTACATTAAGCATATGTTTGGCAAGTGTTTATCAACAGTTGTGTTTATAAACAAATATAAATGAGTGGTGGATAAGTGGGTGGTACTTGTGGATCCCATAAAATATGGGGATAAAAAGTGGTTTTACTTTTAGAAAGTGTTTACACTTGCCAAACATAAGCTAAGTTTCCAACTCAAGAAGAGGACCATGAGAAAGACAAGGGAAATAATTCTTAAAGGCCCAGGTATGACCAGTTATTTGCACAAATGTTCTTTTGAGATAGGAGTTTCATTGGTAAGAATTCTTCAATAGTAACATTCAATCCTGTTTCCAAAACGAAAGAAACAAAAGAAAGTACAAATGTGTTGATAATAGAAATACCAAATGGAGAATAGCTGGACAGGACAATTATATGAGCAGATGCCCGTCTCACAGCATACCACAGAGGACTACTGCTTCTGCTAGATGGATAAGGTGTAGGGTATCTATGAAGATAATTTCTGAAGGGAATTATCTCTCCCTGAACATGAAAAACATAACATAGTAGTCAAAATCAGAGCAAAGCATAAATAATCAAAGATATTTGCGGAAAAATGTCTTTGTCTTTATCTGTTCATATTATCCAACTATTGTCAATTGATGCAAAAGAAGTTTGTTTCAAATTACAAGAAATTAGGTCTCAATAGTTTTCCTTGTCTTGCACATGGTATAACGTCATGGAGGTAACAAGAACCGAAGAACGTATAGAGTCATTGAGATCAGCACGAAAGGAAAATGAATCAGAAGTAATTATTATCTACACCCAATTTAAGATTCGAGTCATTTAACAGGTAAAGTTATTGTCATAAGGAAAACATTCTCAAGAGATGCATAAAAGACATTAGCTCTAAAGAAGACTTGGAAAATTAATCCACACACCCCCCACCCCCGGAGAAAAATTGAAATTGTTTATCTCTAGACTTTTACCATATGGGGCATGTACTCTATTTCATGATTTCCGGCTGACCACATCCATGGCTGATATGCAGCACTTTGTTCAATAAAACGACCCCATGAATCCCAGCGGACGCCAACGTCGTGATATTCATATCTATCAGCATAAGAAAGATCTCCAACAAATAACACAGTCTGTGCACCAGTCTCCATATAATGCTGAATGGTCGACAGAGAATTAAATGTTTGGCCAAGATCACCTACAGCAAAAATTGATAAAATTCATAAATACAGACTCCATAATGAAGTGGAAAGATATTACCATGTAGAGTATCTGAAACAGTTGGAATTTTAAAAAATTCTGATTCAAAATAAGCCCTGTTTGAGCCACATTAAAATTTTCATTTTCATTTTTCTACTCATTTTTAACCACACATTCTTCAAAAACATAATATTTTTCATTGCATCAATAATTTTTCCTTCTTTTTCAACCACACATTCTCCATCAATCTACTATTCCAAAATACATTCTTCCAAAATAATGTGGCTCAAACACACCATAAATAATATAGATGTTCTGCAGAGAGGTTGTTCCATTTAGAATAACTGGTAAATTTTCCATTATGATCACCATGAGTTTTGAAAAAAATATCTATTATTTCTGTGTGCCTACAAACATTTTCAGGTTTCAGTTTCACAGATCATTAAATAATTACTAAACAATATCAAGTTTTCCAATTTTAAACATCTCTCTATCTTAGTCATCATATCATCTTTGCAAATAATATCATAACTAATATCCTACATCATCTTAAACAACAACAAACTATGCCTTCTTCTTAATAAATTTGGGGACAACTACGTGAATTATTTTGCTCCACTTGGTCAAATAGGAAACATATGAATGTAATACACATGAATATGTTCAAACTTCAGGATTTTAACTCAGTCAATCATATCCTGGCTTATGTGCAGTCCACTGAAAGTACTACATTATGAAAATTTAAATGGTTTTGGAGGAAACTCAATGGTCCACTCTCGACTGATGAAAAATCATTTTTTCTTTCTTTTTTTTTTTTCGAAAAGAGATGCAGTAATTTGACTGAAGCAAGATAAGTTTAATCATATGAACAGTAAAAAGCCAGATAGGGAAACGCTCAAATATACCTATGCCTTTCAACATTAAACTGAAAAAGCTCTCAGATTTTTATTTAATGTATTTTACATTTCAAATTTGAGATTTGCAACGCTGTTCTCTTGGATCTCATAAAACACACACATCTAATATCAAGAAACAATGCTGCTTACGTATCATGATATAAAGCTGTTTTTCTTCAAAATAGAGAATGAAACAAATGTTTCTCACCTATTATTCCAAACTTGTAAGGAACGTCTGGACCAATTTTTGGAGGTGTTTGAAACCAAAACTTCCTGGCTGAATTGACATCCCCAATCTCATAGTAATACTTAGTGTCATACTGAGAAGAATGAAGACACAACTCAGGCACGGAACAGATGAAGAAAAGTACGGGTATGAAAAAAAAGTTATATGACAGACGATAAGAAGAGTGTTATGTGCATTTGAATTTCCATTGACCACTGAAATCCGGGAATTATGTAATTATCTGACTGCAACCATTTGATTCTGCACTATTTTTTTTTCTTTTATTAATTTAAAGAGTAAAATGTGGTACCACTTTCAATTTGACAAGAATGGAGAAAATGATGTCATGCGAATTCCACAACTCGTTTCTTATACCTCAAGACCACCTATAAGACACTGATGTATATATCCAGATTTGTAGTTGTAAAAGGTGTAATTTTGCACCGTCGCCTCTGCGGTAAAATCGTACTTTCCATCTGACATTCCATATCGGACTTGGTTTGACCCTGGTTTGTCAGTTGTTACCCATGAGATTATAATAGCCTTCCCATCATAGTCACCCTGTGTAATGTGCACCTACACAAAAAGATTAATGTCATCAAAACATCATAGAAACGTGTAAAACATCTCGTCTTTGTGCAATAAAAGCTATTTGATTGACAACTAATCACCAATTTTGCGAGGAATTATCTAATAGACATCACTCATCAGTCTTCGTATCTGGAGTTACAGAGGATTTTACTAGTTGATCAAGTAATCCAAAGCGCAGAATGCCGTATCTTATGTATGCTTATCATAATACTTCACCTTGCACCAAGTGTATAATATATTTCACAAAGATGAACTTTACATTCATTTCTAACAATATTTTCAGAACCAGTTGTACCAATGAGGTAGAAAAGTGAAACTATAATAAAATCATCTGAGTTAAATGACAAACAACAAACAGATCACACATTCCTTGATATAAAATACATGCACAGTGTCAGAGAAACACGAAAGGAATAAAATTGCAAAACCGGAAAGGCCGAACACTTTCTTTCCTTTGTAGCTCTTTTCCATATGGAATCACTTGAAAACGAATAAGGAAATGTTAAAACTTACTTGTTGTGGTGCGTTGTAACCTTTAGGAACTGCAAAAGCTTCATTGTCAAGTGGAATATCGACTGATGGCCACTCGTGACGCACAAATGCACTTGTCACACCAGCATGGGCGTGGTTTATGCAGCTCAATAAAACAAATGACAAAAGCCACCACTGAGCAAACAACAATTCCTTCCCCTTATTCTTCAACATGATCAATCAACATAAATCACACGATCCACTGCATTCAATGACAAAGACAAGATAATCAATCATAAATGGGTAGGGGAGGCAATTTTTAAATCTGCAACAAATATATTCTTTGATCCAAAAAAAATCTAAAATTCATCAAAAGTATCTAAGAATCACCAAGCAATTGAAATCGTGTTACATTAGCTTGTAAAACACTATATTTTCGAATATATAAGCAGGCGTCCATAGACTGTACATTAACACGCTCACATCCGATCCAAATAATCTAGTTATTTCCTTTACTGCGGTTCAAACACAACAACCTATATCGATTCCTAACCAAGCACGCCACGACTTAGAATCTGAACAGAAAAGCCAAAAACACATTCCACACAAATATGTAGTACAGCTCACTATAAAAATCATCTCAAAGTCACTGTTCATGTCACTATCCGACAAATCATCCGTCTCCCAGGCAGATGAACGACCGGTTAACCCAATCATGAACGCTTCAATTTCCAATCATTTTATCAAATAAATAATTCAATTAAACAGCTATTTGCACTAATACACACGCGTAAGTATTCATTGTATGGTTAATGAGAGAGTAATAGGCACCTGAAATCTCACGGGAAGATTTATTTCGCTTGCCAATCCAGAGGGGAGAAGAGTGCCGTAATGACCTTGGAAGTTTAGTTTAGAGCGTGGGCCGAGGCGTACGTTAGAATTGATCAGTTGCAGTTAGTCTGTCTCTGCTTCTGATGTTTAGGATAGGAGGCGTGGAAGCGTCGTCAAAAGCTGCCATATGAGGCCGAGGTTCCGTCCACGTGGCGAAATATGATTGGAGAAATTGGGTCAAATAGTCACTTTCATAATACGCTTAGCAATTTTAGTCTTTGACCAGAATTAAAGTTTTAAAATAAATATTTTAAATCAAAATTAATAGATTACCTAAATTACTCATATTACATCAGAGTGACTTCATTCTCACATTCTATACACAATTCAAAACTAACGGTAAAACGGCATGCTGCATTTTAAACGACTGAGTATCGTTTTAACTAATTTTATATTCGTATCACTTTATATTCTCTCGTATCCACGTGAAAATTAATTAAAATAAATTTTAACTATATTTGGAGTGAAATTGAGAATTCGTGACCCAAAACAGCGTGTTGTCGTTACAAACGGTTCGATGACGTTTTAATTAATTTAGTGTTCGTTTCACTTTATATTCTCTCATACCCACATAAAAATGAGCGTAGACAAGTTTTCACGATATTTAAAGTGACATCGAGACCTCGTAGCCCAAAATGTCAAGCTGACGTTTTAAATGCTTTGCTGTCATTTCAAGTAATTTTATATATGTTTCACTTTATTTTTACTCGTTTGCACAAACAAAAACAAGTTTCATTACATTTGGGCATTAATGTCTATACAAATTTCACGCGATAATGACCAACATCGTTGTTTTGTGAGTAAACTATATTATACTTATTACGAACAAAGGTAAGTAACCCAAATTTCATATATTCCAATTATACAATAAAATACTCAACAAATTAGGTCGTTTAACTTGTATAAGCCTTCCAGATGGTCCAAGATCTGATCGATTTATTTTAGAGTGAAATCAAGGTCCCGTGATTCTAAATGGCATGATGTTGTTTTGAACGGCTAGGTGTCAATTCAACTATTTTTATGTTCATTTCACTTTATGTTCACTCGTATCCATATAAAATGAACTAATACAAGTTTTCACTATATTTGAATACTACGGTCGATACAAATGTTCACCTTATAATAACCAACAATATTGTTTCGTCAGTAAATTACACTAAATTTCAGAATAAAGAAAAATGTAAGTAGGAAGTATGGTATCCAAAACATAGCACGTTTAGTCGTTCAATATGTACCAGTCATGTATGATGTTTCAAACACTGCTTTACTAGTTTTAGAGTGAAATCGATATCCCATGACCTAAAACAGCATCTGACCATTTTAAACGTGTGACTGACGTTTCTACTTATTTAGTATTCGTTTCGCTTCATTCACTCCCGTAACCACAAAAGTTTAGGGATAAAAGTTTTAACTACATTTCTACATCGTGATCGGCACATTTTTTCAAACTATAGTGAGTCGCTCCATAATCTGGTAGAAATATAGTTAAAACTTTCATCCCTAAACTTTCACGTGGTTAAACGAACACTAAATGGGTAGAAACTTCAGCCACACGTTTAAAATGATCAGATGCCGTTTTGGGTCACATGGTCTCGATTTCTCTTAAAAACTAGTTGATCATAATTTGAAACATCTTAGAAAACTTGTACATGTTGAATTAGCTAATTTGTTGAGTATCTTATCTCACAATTGGATATAATGAAATTTGTATTACTTACCTTTATTTGTAGCGAAGTAGAGTGTAAGTTACTTACGGAACAATAGTGTTGGTCACTATCGGATTACCTTTGTATCTAACTTCTTGTTTAAATATGGCAAAAACTCAAAATTCGTTTAACTTCTATATAAGTATAAGTGAATATAAAGTGAAATTAACACAAAACTAGTTGAAATGGCAACTAGCCATTTAAAATTTCAGCATGTCATTTTGGGTCACAGTGTCTCGATTTCACTTTAAAACTATTTGATCATATTTTTGAATATCTTAAAAGACTTATATAAGTTAAACAAACTAAATTT